TGCAAGTGCATCAGCACAGATCATGCTCTCTGAGCAACAGAGAGCAGCTCTTGTCCCCAAATACTCGTAATGTACCTGCATTGGTTCTTCCTGATAACGGGTTAATTGCTCTGTGGGATGGGTTTTCTGGGCTTTTTGGTCCTTAAAGTCCATGGTGCATGGCAGGTCAGAAGGGACGGTGTGACATGCCCATCTGTGTTACTAGATTTGCCTTGCTCTGTTTTTCAGTCCTTGCCCCATCCCTGTTTCTCAGTCTAGAGACAGTGAAATGTTCTTATTTTTGGTCTTGGAGCATGTTGGGTTTAGAGGTGCAGAGCAGACCTCAGACAGATTCAGTTTGATTCCCTAGGTGAAGGAGTCAGGTTTTAGTAGCCCCTTGCACTCCTTGTAAATACTAAAACTCTAAAACCAGCAATATGGAAATAGTTAATATGAAGCAGAGTGTTTCAAGTCATCAACTAGCTTAACATGGCTGATTTATTTTTTAGGGGAAAAACCAGTTTATTAGTCACAGATGTGCATGTTTCCAGTGTTAAGAAAGTTGGGACTAGAATGAGAATTCCCATGTCCCTTCCAGTTTCAAAAATTTGTCTATTCGTTGGAGGTAACTTTATCTTCTAGTTTGAGGGGGTCAGAACTCATGCTGCCTGCTCTTTTTATTTAGCTCCAAAAATATATTTAGGGCCTTTTCATGAACTCTCTGACCTTACCACCAGAGCAATTTATGTGGTTTTTACTTTTGAGAGAAATGGCAGTTAAATGAATGCCTTCTTTTCCTATTGTGGCTATGTGAATTATAAAACAAAGCCCATCCATTAGGTTTTTTTAACTACTTCATTGAATTACAAAGCTGTCTCTACTTGAGCAAATAGTGATTTTATTAAATTTGATGGTTTCCTGTTGGACTGGTGTTGCTGTGTGCAATCATTACATGTGTATTGTGCTTTTCCACTCTCCAAGATGGCCATCTGTTGCATTTATCTTTTTCTAATATAAAAAAAAAAAAAGAAGAGAAATCTGACACTCACTAGAAAGTTTAGTGTACTCGAAACACAGTTTGGGGTTAGCATACCCCAAACTTATTCCATCCATTTTGGTTTTAAAAGTCTGTGTTGTTCGGGGTTTAAAGTGTAGTCATAAAGGAAACAAAGCCAATTTAGTGTAAACAGTCCCAAGCATGGTAATCAATCAAACCAAATCTGTATCCCTAATTACATAGATAGAAGTAGTATGTAGTGATGGAGAATGGGGAAAATAAGACACACCCATATGGCTCTTCTCATAGCAAACATGAAAGGTCTTTCTGTGCTGTTGAAAATGCCTGTGTTGGATATTGATATTCCCTAACGCTTGCATCTGGCAATGCCTCTACATAAATATAGGAACTTGAGCACCTAAGGGTTTTTTTGTGGCTGTGCTCTTAAGTATTGTAACTGATCTCCTGAGGAAGCGGGTGGGATTATGAATTGGAGAATCTGGACTCCTGTTAGCTGGGATGGGATGGGAAATGGATGTTAAAGGGTCTCACTGGGAAAATACTGGCATGGAATAGTTTTAGTGACTATTAACGTTGACCTGTGAGGCTGTAAGGATGTTTTCTGAAAATTTAAGGGGGGGTAGAAAGTTGGATCTGATCTCTGAAGAGACTGAAAGTTGGCTCTGTTTTTCTGAGAATGAACACTGATGCTGTTAAAAATCTCTGGATTTTGGGGTTTTTTTTGAAAACCATTTTAAAAAGAATTTTATCTTTAAGTTGATGTTTTTGTAGCAATGCAGGTTTTTTATACATTTTAAGCTTCTCCTTCTTCCCCGGTGTTTTCATGCCGTGAAGAGCAAAGTAGAACAGGGCTATCATTTTGGTGTACTACTTACAGTTTGTCCACTTTTATGAATCTCTGAAGCCCTAATAATACTTCAGTAAATACTTCATATCAGGTTATGAAGAGGAGAAGATGAGAAGCAGTTACATGCTGCACACCAAATGAAAACTAATGCTGTGTGGGAGGATATGGCTAATGGATGTGCTGCAAAACATGTCTGGCTAATATTGTTTTGTCTCAGATCCTCTCCACTTGAACGGAGTGTACGTATTTCTTCCTGCTGTCTTCTCTTCTCTTGCCCACAAACTCTTGGCCAACTTGGATTAAGAGTAGGAGGGGCACAGCAGAAGTGCAGTCAGACAAAAATACTCATCTCCCACAGTTTCAGGGGCTTGGTTTTACAGAAAACTCAGTAGTTGCTAAGTGTTGATTGTCAAAAGGTTGGGTGAGAATTTGAGGAGGTGGAGCACAGGTTTTATAAAAAGGAAAATGGGTTTATTAACTGCAGGCATCTTACATGCTTAGGGATAGGGACGTTTATGTAAAGGTGAACCTTAGGCAATCAGTCACTGCACAACCACACTGCCACCTTCTTAGAAAGGAGTGATCGTAAAGGAGAGAAAAGCAACAGGTACAAAAATACAAAACAGTACACAGTGGACTTCTGCAAAGGCTTAACTGCCTTTTTTTTTAATAAACAAGTGAATGTGGTCAGTTTTATTTGTATGGAACGAACTTGTGTGAACCATTATTGCAAGGAAAAATATATACAAATGAAAGAAAAACTTGGGTGAGTGATGATAACATCTGTAAGCTTGGGAGTCTCGAAAACAAAGCATTAGTTTCTGCTTTAAGAAACTTATTTACAAGAACACCAACACTGTTTTCTTCTCTTCTATGCTCCACTAGCAGAGTGGCAGAATTTATTTATCAGAATATCCATCAGCTAATATTTGTCATGATTTCTAAAACACAAGGAATCTAATCAAAATTAGAAGATGATATGCTAAAGGTAAAGCTGAGTTTGATTGAAAGAGCAGTCAAACTAACTTTTTACAGAGGTTTAATAGGAGATTGTTTAGATTCCTGTGGAGAGCTTGCAGACACTTGAGAGTTTTGTTGGGAATTTTTTTTAATAAGCAGACTGTTTTTTTTTTTTTTAAAAATAAACTTAAAAAAAAAAAAAAGTTTGTTGTGATGTGGATGCTGATGGCTAGTAGGCTTGATTTTCTTTTGTATGTGCTGACGACCCTTAGGCAGTAATCCAGAGGCCCTGAGGGATACTCAGATTGGAAGCTGAAAACCATTGTTACAGATAATTAATTTTTCCAGTATGTTTCCTGCTTCAACAAGAAAATAATGTGGTAATTCTGTAGCACTACTATCCCAATATTTATAGACAAAGACAACTATTGTAACTCTGCATCTGACTTTTGGTAGTACATGTTACTTAAAGACTTGAAACCAGGTTAATGGCATCATAGGAAGTCTCCTTACCCCTGTGCAGCTGTGTTGAGAAGATAATTCTGCAGACAAATCCTGACTCTGGGTGAATTGCTTTCAAGTGTTAGCAATTAGCTTGTTGGACTGAAAGTATGCTTTATAAAGTTTACCTTCTGCTGTATGGAAACAGGATGAAAGTGGTGGTTAATAGCAATTATGATGTGTGTGTTCGTACAGTATAAGGTATAGGAGTTGTTGGTACAAGAGCTGATGTCTCTTGATGGTCACATGCCACTTGGGTTTTATCAGAATAGAGAAAAATCTTGACAAACAGCCTGATCCATCACAGTTTGGAATTTCAAGGAAAGAATGCCCTTACTGGAACAGCTTAAACTGTGAAGAAAAAATGGGAAGTCCTAACTTACTGTATTCACCTTTTATATCTCTTTTCTCCCTCTCAGTTCAAAGCCAGAATTTGCACTTAATACTCTGTGGAAACAGAGCAGGCTCAAATAGTTGTGTGTGCATTTGGGTGTTTACAATGAAGTGTATTGTTACAGCAGTGTGACCATATTATTCTGCAAAATTCAAACTACCCCTGATCAGACTGGCAACGTGCCTCTTACTGAAAAGCTGCCAGAAGAGGTGACCTGAACATCTGTGTCAAGCTTCAAGGAGGAACACAAGCACTGCATTTAATTCCCAGCAGTAGAAACATTCAGCAAAACATCATTTATGACATCCTTTTATGAACTATCTATCTGTAAAAGTGCACACATGGGGCTGAGCGGGCAGGGGAACAAACCACACATATCTGACAACCTAGAAGCATCTTACTAGGAAGATGGTAGTAAGGTGGTAGATAATATTCATAGGAGTGGTGTTATGAGAATGTGTCCCTCCAAAACGTATGTTTTTAGGAAAAGATAATTACTGGGGGAAAAGTCATTGTGCTGCATGGGGAAAAAATAAATGTCCTGTCACGGTCCCTAACCAGTGGGTGTTTGTCATGAGCATACACTTCAGTTCAAATGGCAGGAGGCTTGGTGAGAAGGTAGTATTGACCTCATGCACATATAACTGTAACTTGAGAGAAGCCTGTCTCTTGTGGGCATTGTCATGCTGAGAAATACTGCTGATCCTGAGGTTCGAGCAAATGGGCTTTTAAATTTTTATGTTCTGTGCCTTTTTAAAAAACAAAACAGCCAAAACTGACAGACATGCATTTAGCTATGTTCTGGATTCTTCTTCCCCCTTTCCCAAAGGTAAGGGAAATAGATAATTAATGAAAGTAACTGGAGCATTTGTAATAACATTTGGTGTTCAAAAAAAAATAATCTATCATTAAAGCAATAATTTTCACTCTTCATGTACGTGTTCAAAGCAGTGTATGTCGAAAGATAAAACATACATAACCTTCCGTAGAATTAGTTGACACATGGAAAGTACCATCCACTGTCAAGTAAGTATCAGCAGTGCTAAGTATGAGTTATAATTGAGGCAGGAGTGGCTTAAGGAAGCTTGACTGTTGTTGGCCTATAAATGGTGCTTATGCATGGGCGGCCATGTGCATCTTGAACTCGGATAGTTGTGGTATCATGAAGGCCACGTTACTTCAAAATAACTGGTCGATAAGTCCATAAATCCAGTCTAAAGCCATTACTGCATGGGTAATCTACCTTGTTTCTCACTTACTAGTGTTGCAGTTTTTAAATGCACCCCTCATTCTTTTTGCAGACTCCCTTTCAGTCTCCAGCAATGATGCCAGTCCTCCTGCTTCAGTAACATCACTTCAGCCCCACATGATCGGTGCACAGAGCTCCCCGGGCCCCAAGCGCCCTGGTAACACTTTGAGAAAATGGCTTACCAGTCCTGTGAGGCGCCTCAGCAGCGGGAAGGCAGATGGGCATGTCAAAAAACTGGCACACAAGCATAAGAAGAGCAGAGAGGTTCGTAAAAGTGCCGACGCGGGCTCTCAGAAGGACTCTGATGATAGTGCAGCAACCCCACAGGATGAAACTGTCGAAGAGGTAAGTGTTCAGGGCAGCTTCCCGAGACCTGTTTTTATGTTTTTCAAAGAACTGAAGGTTGTCAGGTGAAGGCTGTCTCCTCAATTGACTGTCCAGCAGTTGAGCAAAGTGGCGCGTGCCACATCCTCATCCTTGATGACTGCTGTACTCAGCATAAGGACTGTGCCAGGCACAGTTCGTGCAATTCTGCATTGAGAGTGTTAGTAAAGCTCTGTGGAGAAGAATCTCTAGTTGAAAAAGAGGAATGGGGGAGTGAAAAGCTGCTCTTTGGCTTTGCTGTCTTAGACCACTGAGGAAAGCAGCTTTGTGAGTAAAGGTGCTTCACATTCTTGGAATAATGAGGTCATTTTGTATTTCCTTTTCTTGTTGATGGATCAGGTAAAATATATTGAGAGCTGCCTAAAGCTGTATTTACATTTTGAGCAAGAGTTAGAGCACAGAAAAATGACTGCCCCTTCAAATCAAAAGGCAGTTATTATCAGTGAAATAATAGACATGGCAGTTTTCATTGGAGGGAAGGAAACTGAACTATTCCAGATTTTGCCACTGAGGACATCCACTGAAGGTTTCCTTCCTCCCACAAACACCTGCCTTCTTTCTAAGCCTGGTACACACATGTGAGCAAAGCCTGCCTCCAGTTAGGTGCAGACAGCCCCATTCTCTTCTCTTACAAACCTATGGTTGAGGCTGCAGTGAATGACATCTTGCTGCTCCCAAGGGCACAGCCACATCCCTGCTGATACAGTTATTCCCTTTTACCAGACTTGAGTCTGACTAATGTGTTTGGTAGTTGTACAGAAAAGTGGTCTCAGATGCCAAATTAATTAATACTTTTTCTTTTTATCCTTATTCCCGACATATTTTGCTGCAACATCAGTGAAGGCATGCAGTAAATGGAGGGAAGGAAAAGTCTAGAGATTTGGCAGCATGGTCAGTTGGAAGATGTGGTTTGGACAGGAATATTTTCCTATGTCCTTGAATGTCAGGCTGTGGAAAGAGACCCACTGTGATGCAGCTGTGGCATTGTTTTGGAATATCTAGTTCTGTGAGTGGGGAAAAATATGTGCCTTAAAGGCAATAAAAACAATAACTATATTTGCTTTCTGCCTTTAAATTATAGAGTTAAATTATCCTGGGGAATCAGTTACAATAAACTTTTGTTAATGGAAATCATCATGTCTTGTATACTTGGAAGGACTGTCTTTCAACACAAGTGAAAAATTACACAAGTAGTCTGCTTTTACTACTTTAAGGGGGAGAGGGCAGAAAGAATAAGTGACAAAATAGTTCATGTTGTAATAGGAATTTTTTTATATCCTTTAGAAGTCTTGCTGTGAGGGTTGGTACTCCAGATACAAAATTCTGGAGTTCCTAAGTTAGAGGAATGTGGCTCTTTACAAAACTGGACCTGGAAAGCAAGCGTGGCTTGGGTAACACTTTGCTGTAGTAAACTTCATGCTGAATGTCTTGTTCTCAGTATCTCAATCCATGTGCTTTTATCTTCAGCACCTACTTTTTTCCTCACACCGTTGAGGGGTTGCACTGTGTTTGTGGGATCATCTTGGCTTGTTGGGAGAGAGGTGAATCCACAGAACAGACTTGTTAAAGACAGGCTTGCGATGACAGGCTTCATGCTGTTGAGGAAGTGACAGAGCTTGAATGTCTTGATTTTATTTCCAGAGAGGTCGGAACGAGGGGCTGAGCAGTGGCACTCTCTCCAAGTCATCCTCTTCAGGCATGCAGAGCTGTGGAGAAGAGGAAGGTGAAGAGGGAGCAGATGCTGTACCACTTCCTCCTCCTATGGCGATTCAGCAACACAGTCTTCTCCAGCCAGACTCCCAGGATGACAAGGTAGGAGGAGGAAGCAGGGAAGGCTTATTGAGATAACCTCTGTTTATCTCTTATCTCTGTTAAGCTCTCTTCTGTTTCCCAGAGTCTCTGTAAGGTATGTAACACGGCTTTATGGTAGGCAGAAGTAATCACTATGATTATTTAGACAACATTGGAAAAGTTTCTTGTGGAAATAGTTTCTGCACAGTGCAGAAATTTTTCTACTAGCACTCTAAATGTGGAAGCGGGCCACTTGGTGTGTTTGCAGGTCTATTTACATCTGTTTGACTGATGCCCTATTTAGTGATTAGAATGTAATTGTTTTATACTCATACCTTTGGGTACTGAGGTTAAAATACTGTGTGCAGATAGAGTTTATCTGGAGAAATGAACAGCTGTATATAACCTCTTTAGATCACAGGCTGATCACAAAGCCCTACTATTTTGCATAGTGTCATTTCAGGGGGAAAAAAAAATTCTATATACATCCCTTAGCAGAAGGAGTAGTTCACATCACGTCTAAGGTGGTTTTTTTTAATTCTTGGGTTTTTTTCCCTTTTTTTCTTTTTTTTTTGAGGAGTGGGTGCCTAGGAAAAAGGTGCACTGAGAAATTAGTATCCAACCAAGGTTAATAATACAACTTCTTTTTACAAACAACGGCAAATTAAAGTTGAGGGTAAAAATTTTCCATCAGTAATGAAATTCTGGATGTAGGTAGTAGTAACTACATTAAGGTACTCTTAATTTCATATAATCTTGTTTTTCTTGAATGTTATGATGTTCATACACTAGAGGGTTTATTTCAGTTTTCTACCTGGATCAAACATTTATGGGACAAGTATCAAGCCTCGAAATAAAGGTATTTAGAATGGAAATAAGTCTGGACTTGTGCATCAAGGCACATTACTGTTTTTTTCTCATTTTGCTGCTTAAAATTTTTAACCTTTGTAATCTGTAGCACTGAATATTGTTAGTGAATTTTGTGGCTGGTTGCTCACTGTTCTCAGTGTTGCAGATGTTACTGATAGCTCTGGTTGATCTTTTTTATTTCTGTTTTTTTCTTCCTTTTAAAAACAGTGCCTTTCAGTGGGAATCTCACTGATCACTGGAGCTACCGTTTGTAGGCTCAAAATGGCTGGCTCCCGTGCTCTGTGTATTCAACTGCTGCATGTCTTCTGAATTGAAAAAGTGTAATATATGAGTTGGTGATATTGGGAAGTATTCCTGAAACAAAACAAGTAAAAATAGGCCAGCCTTTAGACATCAGGGAATATTTTATTGCAAGAAAGTAATTATCTCAGTTTGAGGCTTAGAAATAGAATAAAAATAATGTTGGTGAAAATATGTTAAGGTTCCTGATGATAAGCTGCCATATTTGCATGTCCCTTCAGTTATATTAAAAAAAAAAATAAATTGATATGCAAGTCTTCTAAAAAGTTCTGCAGAGAAAAATGGTTTTTGTTTATCTAGTTCTCTTTACCCAGCAAGAACAGTTATGTGAAGGGATACGCTTTTAAGTTAGTCTGCTCACTTTTGTATTTGGGTGCAAAGTGAGGCCCTTACTATAGTACAGTAAGAAACTTTGAGTAGCTTTGAATCCCCAGTAAATTTTACTTTCACTGCTTAAGAGGTTAACATTCACCCACTGCAGTAAAAACATGTTGGGACAGTTTTTAAAGTAGTTTCAACTGCATTCTAGAGAAGACTTCTGAGAAGTTTAAATTTGGTAAAGTTAATATTATGCCACAATTTTCCCAAAACCTGTAAATAGTGATTCTTCTCTAGTGCATTGGGCTTGTGCAGTATCTAGCCTACTCCATGGTAGGAGGCAGAAAAGTCCCCTCACATGGCAGCCTCCCTGAAGACACCAGACATAGCACCAGTTTCCAGTAGCAAATATTTTATTTGAACACAGAAGTGAGAAGCCAGAGCAAAGTTCTACCCAGCAGAAGTTAGTTGGCTCTGTTGACGGAGTTACTGATTAATAAAAGGCTTGCAAACAAATTCCCAGTTGTGTGCCTTCTGAGTGGACTCCTCCTTCACATTCCTGCCATGCTCAGTGGTTTCTTGGGTTGATCAGCTCCTCTGGATCCCAAGGAATGTCTCTTCCTTCCCGTGAACTCATGTGTGCCTCACTGTGAGCATTTCTTCCTCTCCAGGGCTCATGGTCTACGCTTTGTGCTGGAATCTCCTTGCTTGCTGGGTTTCTCCCTCCCTGCCCAGCCTGCTGTGGGCTCCAGCACCATCTCACACTTGTGTGTGCTCAGATGCTTCCTCCACCCTTCCTTGTTTTCTTGGCAAGGGGTGTATTCTGCTCCCAGAGTACATCATCCGGAAGGTCAGGAGCTGCATAGATGAGGTCTGCCTGTTACTTTTTCAGATAATGAAACATAGCCATATGAACTGGAAACCAGCCAGTTCTGAAGTTCTACCACTGGTCACCCCCTTTATACTCTGGTACAGCAATAACAGCAAGAAGGGACCTTGACCAGAGTTTCATTCCAGCACTGCCAGTGTTTTGTTAAAGCTGAGCTGAGCTCCACATCCAAAGGGAAAACCCTCATAAAAGCAGAGCTTTGGAAAACCTGGTCAACTATCGGATATCAGGAGCGTACAATTGCCTAGAAGACACGCTAGCTGTGGGACTGCTCAGTTCCTGGTGTGCATGCAAACATCATGTGCTAGGCCATGCTGACTTGTCTAATGTCACTGAATAACACAACCATTTTCTCCCCTAAGAGCTCATCTGCACAGTATGCATTCTCCCGTTCAGCAGAGTCATTGCACACTTCGTGGATATGTATTTGATGGCAGTTTACAAGTTGTTTGCATTTAATTTTTGGATAAGCAGTATTAAAGTTTCAAGATCAGTTATGTTAATATGAAACTAATTATTTTTACTTTTTGTTTTCTCTTTTTTGTAAACTATGATGCAGCATTATGTTGACTTGTGTTCTGTCTCTGCTTTGGCTCAGTTCCCATATCTTTCCATTTAAAGTTGTCTGTATTTCCTTTGCTTACCCAACCCCTGTTTTCCTTTCCAAATAAGGCCAATGCAAGGCAAACTACCTCAAATCTTTATATTCTTTATTTTCTTGACTGATGGGAAGCCTTGTTGCACTCATGCGTGATTTGAGCAGAACCTCTTGTGTTAAGTCATTGTACGTGCCATTTCTTCCTCTAGTTGGTTGGAAACATTTTTCAGGACAGCTTACCCTGTGCTACATAATATTCACTGTGCTGTTCCTAATATGAAGTAAGGTTCATATTACACCCTGTTTCCACTTTCCAGTTATTTAGCAATAAATGTAATATGCAAACAACTCTGTTTGCAAATTACTAAAGCTGGATTTAATGGCCCTCTCCCAGAACCCTTTATTGTGAACACCTTTTACCTTCAGTTGTAGCTATAAACTGGCATTTTATAGCTTATGAGGCCAGAGATCTTCTGTGCTCTACAGATGCCATTGGGGAAAATGGATGGCACAAGGAATGGTGAGCTCAATTTCCGCTCTGAATCTGGGCAATATACCCCAGCTCCTTTAGAAAAGTAAATGCCCCTGAGTTACTGGCCTGTTTTTTCCTAGCTTAATGATTCTTTCTCTTTTAATTCAAGCCTTCTTGGTTCCTGTTACTGTTCTGCCGTTGTTGCTTTGTTTAACCAGCAATAAAATATTTAACAAATTGTTGTCCATTGGGCCACCTCAGGCAATGTTTATAGCTATAAGTTAGAAATTATCATAATCAGCAAGATGAAGGATGTTTCCTTGACTTCTGTTGCATGTAGGAACAGGAATTTTTATCCTAGCATTTAACTTCCATGGGGGTTACTTAAAATCTCCAATTCCAATTGCCCAAATTAGGAATGGATGGTCTTAGTGTTAGATTACCCTAATGGTTATTGTCAGGTACCTCTGACAGAGAAGTGAAGGAAGTCTCTTGATCCTTGAGCAAGTACCAGTCTAACTCTGGGGTTTTCCTTCCTTTGTGTCATTGAACAGACATCTTCTCGGTTATTGGTGCGGCCGACCAGCTCCGAGACACCCAGTGCTGCAGAACTAGTCAGTGCAATTGAAGAGCTCGTCAAAAGTAAAATGGTGAGGCTGACTGGCAGATGAATGTGTCTAAAGAAGTTGTGTCTTCAAGTTTCAACCTGATATTCAAAAAGAAGCTACATGCGTTTGACTTGTAAAACTTGATGCCTATTTTAAAAATCAGTTTCTGGGTTGGTGTGCGGGTCGTTTTGTGCACCTTCTTTTTAAAAGCACTTACTGAATAGGTAAGTGGCTATGTAGAGAAGCAAAAAGCAGTAAGAAGGAGAGGAGGCAGCAGAAAATGTATGTCCTGTTAGTAAAGAGGAAATGTCTTATCAGTAAGATGAATGAAAAGACACAGGGACTTCACCTGATAGACCTTTATGAGAAGAATCCCTAAAAATTTATAGTGTATCTTGGAAGGTTCAATAGTAAAGCAGATGATCCTTACAGAGAAGTGTTCATGCTGTCTAGCTACTCTTCAGGCAATATGATAATGAAGAAATAAGTAAAAGAGTAAAAGGACCACTCCCAGGACTTCCAGGAGGTGACCATTTTGCATGTTAGTGCCTCCTTTCTTGCTTTTTAGTGTTTGCTAACAAATTAAGTAGGAGGAATTTGTGTCAGTCTTTTCAAGTTTCTGTGTTTCTGAAGACCCGCATTGACAAAGAAGAGGGTGTATGAAAAATTCTAGGAAGGCCCTCTTTCATATTCAAAACCCAGCTTGATCCAGTCCCAGAAAAGTTACTCTAGGTGGCCCTGTTTGAGCAGGGAGATTGGACTATATGATCTCAAGAGGTCCCTCAGGAATTCTGTGATTCCCTCAAAATTTTTAAGTTTGGCTTTGGTAGCATAGACCCTGCTGGGATTAGAGAAGTGCTGCTCTGAAAACTAGAGACTTGCAGCATGGCTGCCCCATGTTATCAGAGGTTGATTTTCCCCAGGTTCATTCTAAATTCAAGCAGCTTTGAATTTCAGAATAAGAAATTGCGATTTCTATTTTGGAATCACTCATCAGGAAAGAGTTACCCTTCACTTACATTACTGCATGAAATAATTGCTGCACTCCCTTAGAGTATGAAGTTTGCTTTTTACTTCTCTTGCACCAGGGATGAATAGTAATCTATGGGAAAATTCAACAGTCTTTTGTAAATGGAAAGTGTGACAGTTCATGTGTCTTTTAGGCAGCCTAGCAGTGGATATAACTTAATGATCCATGCGTGTAGTCCCTGGTGAAAATGTTCTCATTTCACAGTTTTAGCCAAGGGTCAGCTTCCCCTGGTTTTTTGGCCAGTCATATAATTATTGAGTTTTTACATGTATAGTGAAAGAAAAAAGATTACAGCTGAACCCCACCCTGGTGAAGTAAATGTGTCTTGTATTAAAGTCTGTATCACAAGCGAGGAAAATGTGATATAACTGTAGCTTGATCCAAGGTTAAAGGCTTGAATTAAAGAAGTCCAATAAATACTTCATAGAAGCTTGTTCATGTTATTTCTCCCATGGCTTCTCCATCTTTTATACAAACAGGAGCCTGTGAAGTCCATGCAAGGGAGACAGTCTATCTGATAGAAGAGACAGGGACTCTTCCGTAGTATCTAAACTGTCATGAAGCTCAAAAGCAACATAAACAGTGAAGAAGTCATTTTCATAAATACATCGGTATTTTGGCTAATTAATATGGTAAACAAAATGTCTGACAAAGAATGTCATTTTTCTTGTGTTAAAAAATGGAACATCCAAAGAAGATCCTTCAGAGATGTCCTGTTTATTACTGAAGGTAACTTGCATATGCCAAAACTGAAGTATGGCAAATGTAATTTAATCCCTGGAAATAATCACACATCTGTGTAGCTTCCACCATAGAAGTATTTACATCCCAAGCAGTATAGTTGGACTTTTAGCCCATGCTACTCAAACCAAGTGAACTCCTTTCTTCTCCTCTGAGGAAAAGACTGACATTCTCAAATGTGCTTCTATAAAGTTAGCTTATCTGTCCTGAAAAGCCACATTGTTGTCTGGTTTCCTGGAAGCTGGAGACCTCCTTTGCCAAGATACATTATAATAATTGATCTTTTGTAGTCTCCCATATACAGCTGCATGTAAATGTGTCTTGTGAATAAAGGGGAAATAAATCATTGTTGCTGTCTGTTTTGATCACCTTCTCAGGCCCTGGAGGACCGTCCAAGTTCCTTGTTGGTAGATCAGGGTGACAGCAGCAGTCCATCCTTCAACCCTTCAGATAACTCCCTTCTCTCCTCCTCATCACCCATAGATGAGATGGAAGAAAGGAAATCCAGCTCCTTAAAAAGACGACAGTAAGACCTCGTTTTCACTCCACTTTTTTACAATGCTTTGAAAAGAGAAATTAGATGTGTAAAGAATGTCTATTTTGAACCATCAGCAGAAGCTGTTAGTCTGAAAGGGGGAGGACTTCTGTTCGGTGTCAGGCATGTAGTCACATTATGCAAATAAATTTTTTTTTTCTCAAACATTAGTTGCAATTTTAATTTCATGTGATTTTTAGTTTTAGTCATACTTGTGTGTGACTTCCCAGGAAGATGCTGATCTTCATGTGCTCAGAGGGCTATTAGGCTTCAAAAAAAGATGTCAACCCCCTTGTTCTATTTCACCACACCCTAAATTTCTTTATGTAATAGTAAACTGTTACCATAGTAGAACAAAAACACTTCAAAACTACTTAAATCTGTGGGTAAAAAGAGCAGCTTATATACTTAAGAGTCTCTAGACTAGAGACACAATAACATTTTATTTCAAACAACAGTTAAATGTTTAATTTTAATGACTCATATAAGAAAACATCTGACTTCAGATAAACAGAAACAAGCCTGCTTTGGTTCCAAAGTCAAAGCAGCATCTCACTTAGAAAACGTGTGTATTCTCCTTTTTCAGCTCTGCTTATGAAGCATATGTTTACAAATATGTAGAAAGCTGTATTCCATTAATCCTCTTAAAGAATCTGAGTCTTTTTTAAATGAAATATGTGTTTATCATATTCTTTGTATTGTAGCTATGTCTTACAGGAATTAGTGGAGACAGAGCGAGATTATGTACGAGATCTGGGCTATGTAGTTGAGGTATGATGTTTTTCATTCTTTTAATTCTTTTTTTCTTGATTTTTTTTTTCATGTGGTACTGACCAGCTGTGTAGCTTGAACCTCACAAATTTTTCACAAAGAAAAAAAAAAAGAAAATGCGAATTTTTTCGTTCTGAGTTTTCCCTCCCGTAGGCTTTTAACATATTAGAAATATTGCATCAAATCTTACTCCCTTCTTGGTGTTACTGTGTGCACCTTATGAGGAGTGTAGTTCTTTGTCATCTTTTAGTACCTCTGGCCTAATGGTATCTTAGACTAGATGTTTTTATTTAGTAGAATTAAATGGGAAAAAAAAAAGCATTGTAGATCAGCATATAGAGCAAGTATCCTGAGTTTGAAAGGCTTGCTTCCTCTTCTACTGCTAGGCTTCTTTTAGACTTCCTAGTTTCCTCTTCTGTAGAACGAGGTAGCATCACACATCTCCCTTCAGTCCTCAGACGCCAACAAAATGCTTTTGGAATAGTAGAGAGAATGTATTTGTATCACCTTAAATTCAGCCTAATAAGGCTCAATTCTTAAACTCTGTTTTAAAGGGAGGGAGGGACAGAAAGATCAGCACTGTGATAGTTTTTTACAGTATTTAAAGGGTGCATTAGAAGGCTATGAACAGGTGTATTTTTGTAACTAGCAAAATAATTCCTGGCGAAAATGATTGACATCAAAACATAATGGAAAACTCTGCAAACTAAAACCAGACCTGGCTAATTAGGAATAGAAATGTACTGGGGACAAATAGAAGGAATAGAGCTGCATGGATATTACAAAATTTTAAACACTCCCATCTCTCAATATGTGATAGAATTACACAATGAGATGAGTATATATACAGCAAAAAAGAAAAGATGGGACTGTGAAAATGTAAAAGGAACTTTACTGAAGCCACAATGCTTACTAGTAGAATTGATGTTCAGTTTGTTTGGTGTTGTTTGCTGATAGCACAAGTAGCAATCCATGCAGTGCAGTCCCATGTGCAGTGCAGCTGCTTTCTTCCTCAGCACGCTTGGGGGTAAGGCTAGTGAGGGTGAATGAAATGGGAAAGGCTGAGCAGAAGAATGCAGAAGCTCTGACGGGTACTTGGTAACAGCCCTGCCTGGCAAAGCACTGCAGCTGCTTCAGGCAGGAAGGACTGTAGAAGTTTCCTCTATGTGTTGAGCCTATTCACACAGGCTGAATTAGCTAGAGAGAATTCATCTTTCTAGCATTGCACAGTCTTGTATAGACAACTTCAGGCCAATTTGTGCTATTTTGTGTCTGTATTCTATGTTATGCTATGTTACAGAGCTTTCTTTTGGTTTGTTTTTGTGTTCTAAGCAAGCTGTTGTCATGGACAATTTGGAAAGCTTCTGAGAAAAGGGGGATTAAAAAAAAAACAAAGACAACTCACTTTTTTGACGTTAAAATGCTCATAGTGTGTTTCCTTGAAACTATTGCAGGGTTATATGGCACTTATGAAGGAAGATGGTGTACCTGATGACATGAAAGGCAAAGACAAGATTGTATTTGGAAATATTCACCAGATCTATGACTGGCACAGAGAGTATGTATTAACTTGAAAACCACCTGCTGAATAAAAAATACTAGACTGACTAGAATGATATTTTTTTCCTCAAATATTCAGATACAAGGTAGAGTTGGCCTTGTGCTTTGAGTTGTAGATACTGTAGATACAGCTTACAAATGTTGCTATGAAGATTTGGTTTCAACAGCAATGCTTATATATAGCAAGTACTTCAACTGAGAATCTATAGTATAGATTTTATTATGTATAGAAGTTTGTACAGTTGGAGACTTTGTTTTTAAAAATGTTTACTCTACGAATAAAGTCCAAAGAGTGAGTTAGGGGTTAGCATGGCAATATAAACATCTCAGGCATTCAGACTAGGAAGGAGAAAAGTTTCAATGAATATATGAAATTGAAGGATTTTATTCATGAACACCATTATTTTTTCATCTTGGCATGGATTCAGTGTGTCCTTTTGGAAATCTGTACTAAAATGTTACACTGTTAACACTGTCATTTTGGACATATATCAATATCCAAAGGTGCTTATAAGGGAACATGAAGCGGACCTTGCAGAAAGACCACTTTGCTTTGCAATTACCTGTTGCTTAAGTGTGTGCTTAAGAAAAAAGTAATTACTCTGTTTATGTTCAGCTTCTTTTTAGGAGAGTTGGAGAAGTGCCTTGAAGATCCAGAAAAACTGGGATCCCTGTTTGTTAAGCATGTAAGTGCAGATATCTTCACTGGCAAACCAAATGCTGCTACTGACCAATGTTTGATTATTAAGGATTTATTTATGGTACAACACAGTTAAAAAAGCGTTGTGAAATATTCTTCACTGTAAGAGATGGAGAGATAACTTATAAAAACTTGTATACAGACTAAGAAAATGCTCTAGGTTTTGTCCCAAATGTCTTCCTTTGGAGAGGCGATAGGAATAAGGGCCCCATTTCTCAATTCAGTTCTAGTTCAGTGCAAGGGAACTGTCATTTTTGTATGACACCTGTCCCCTAATCCCAGGTATCCATGCAATACTTTGGAACATAGGAAACAAAAATAGGAAAGGGCTAATTTTTCTTTCTGGTTTTAGTGCAGTCTAGTTCTATATCCTTTCCCCTTCTGAGAACCACAGTAGTGGTTGAGATTCCTCCCTTTTCACTTTGGGAAGGAATTGAGAGTCCCAGAAATTCATGATGTTTAGTTTTAGTCTAACACAGTACCCTTTATAGCTTTATACAAGTCCCTCTTTTTCCACTTTACATTTATGTATTAAAAGGAATGACCATGTGGATATTATAACACTTCAGAAGCAAAACAGATAAACTAGTTATCTGGAAACCAGATAACAGAATTCAGGACACATCAGATATGCCACTAATCTCAAGGTACTCAGCACAAGACAGCAGAAGGGAAACTTGCCTCCTAAATGTGATGGTGTGCACATGTATACAAAGATTGAAGATGGACTGGGTTAAAGCAGATTTTAATGGCTTTCAGATTTTCCCTGCGGTGTGTGTTTGAAGTCAATACCAGGGTAGCAAAAGAGCACAGAACCAAACATTAGTGGAACATTAACACTGGAAGCCAGGACTAATTCCTGGACTAACGATGAGGAATGAGCTGTTTCATTTCTGAGGGATTATTTTGGGGAAAAAAAAGAAAAATAGGCATGGGGACGGGGGAGAATTCTGACACTGGTAAAATGGAAAACCTTGAGAAAGTAATTTTCCCTACTTCTGATTCCTGTTTTACATTCTCCTGGTATATTTGTAACTGAGTTGTCTTTGAAAGGCACCCTTACCACTCCAGATGGAAAGGCAAGCTGTGATGCTATTACAACATCCTCTGGCAAAAACCTGACTGTTAGCTAGAACATGACGATTCAGTTCCTGCTCTTAACTTATGTCCTGTGTCCTCAATCTCCATTTTATTTCTTCCTTTTTTTCTTTCCATTTGTCTTCACTGGTCAGTACTCCATAAGTCTCTGAGCAGCAAAGCCTCTAACAGCAAACTGATCTTATCAAAATTATAAGAAAGTGTTTGGAGTGGGTAATAGACACATGTGGCATGTCTGTGGTTCTTAACCAGCAGCGTTCATCAAGAATGAACGTTAAAGGCTGAAGTTATGCTCTCTGTCTTTTTGTCACCTGGGTGTTAAAAGCACATGCACAAAATACAGAATCAGAGTTAAAAAAATACTAGCGCTATCATTTCCAGGCTACATCACCTATGTCCCCACTCCAATGACCACTAGTACTAAATAGGAGAGTCAAGAAGTTTCTCTTCAGTAATCTGTGAGCAAGCTAAACAAGCAGAGGTCATTATTCTAATATAGTCGAATAATAAACAGATTATTAAAATTATATGAAAAATATGGTATTTCAAAGGCTCCATTTGATTGCTTTTACTTTAAAAAAATATAACCATTTTCATACTTAATTTTCTTTTGGGACTTGCTGAGCTATCATCTCTAAACACCTGTTTGGGAGTATTTATAACTGTGGCAATATTTTGACTTGCAATGCCTTCCTAAAATCATCACAATATTCCCAAATAAATGTGTTTTCAGACCTGTAATTTCTGTATATGTAGTTGCTTCTTTTCCTCAAAAGAACCTTTCTAACTTGATACTTTTGAAAGGTGTCCTTCTTAAAATTATACTGCATTTCAATCCAGCATGGGTTTTTTTCTTGATGATGATGTATTCTTCTGTATCTTTGTTCTTCTAGGAGAGGAGGTTGCACATGTACATAGTTTACTGCCAAAACAAACCAAAGTCTGAGCACATTGTCTCAGAATACATTGATACGTTTTTTGAGGTAAGTTACTGAGAGATGATGTAATTAAGCATCATAAACATCAGATTTGCTGAGCAAAACAAAGCACAGACACACACACAAAAAAAAGGCAGCACATGTTGTTTTTACTGTTTTAAATTACAATTTCTTGCCATTTCTGTTCTGATTTCTCAAGTCTGATACATGATCCTAGAGACTTATTAATCTGGGGGAAGAAAACTAAAGTTTAGTTGTAATATACTAATTGGTCAGTAGTCTCATCCTTACTAGCCTTAGCCCAGGGAGTTAACAGTGCATATTATATGAAGTGTCAATTTTGGATGAGCAAAGATCACTGTCAGAAATAGACTATATATAACCTATGATTGAAAAATTACATTTCAAAATGCAATCTTTTTAAAAAAAAGTTGTGGAAGATGCTTGGAGAGGGAAATACTTTGGAAACAAAGCTAATGCAGATAAGGGGAAGGACTCCAGCTTGTGCTTACTGACGATTAGCTTCTACTCCAACTTCTGCCAATTTCTGCTCTGATAGCCATTTACAGTGATACATCTTGATGTGTTCTAACTTAACAAAAAAAAACCACCAAAGTTGTTTCTGACTGAATTAACAAAAAATGGTTGTTTTACAACCTTCAGGATCTTAAGCAACGCCTGGGCCACAGACTTCAGCTCACGGACTTGCTAATAAAACCTGTGCAGAGAATTATGAAATACCAGCTGTTACTAAAGGTAAAGGGATGTTGAGATGATGATGTAATATTTGCGTTAACAGATATTTTTTCTTTTTTAAATATTGCTGATGCTTTTCCACCATTCTCCCAAACGGAAACCAGATTTGTAAGCAATGCCATATTATTTTCTGAGCATATTAAGATATTTATAAAAATTGCAGTGAATAGTATGGGCAGAATTTTGCTTTTTCTTTTAACAGTTAAAGACCAAATGAACTCAAGTCAGGGACATGAGAATGTTTAGAATTTGTACCAATGTCTTACAGAGGGGAGAGGGGTCTCCCAACTGTTTTCAGATGTAAACGTGATATGACTTGTTTGGACTTATCCCAACTTTTCCATCTACATCTACAACCATCTGAATACCATGTAAACGTTTACTGAAGAACAACCCTGTGTATCACAGAAGTCGTTGCCTTAATAAATGTTCTTATGTGAGCTAAACAAAAAAGGGAATAAATCTTAAAGAAAAGGAGGGGGAAAGCACCACATCAAGAAGCTTTAAAAAGAAAGTATTTCTATGTGTCTTCTGCAGCATGTCATTCTCTGACAGAGAATAGCAAATTTAGGTTTTCTAAGATTTCTTCTTACTGATTAATGAGAAAAGAACTCATATTATTGTTTTTCCCTTTTTCAGGACTTCCTCAAATATTCTAAAAAAGCCAATCTTGACACAACAGAACTAGAGGTACTTGAGATTTTTCCTCTTAGTGATTTGAATGCTCCTTACTCTGAACTTCTCTTGTTTTGACAGTCACTTTCCTTTTCTGATCTTCTTGAGAATGTGATTTTAAATGTGTACTTTTCACATTTTTCTTCTAAAGCAACTATAGCAAATGAAACAAAATTTTATGCTGCTAACTCATTAGGAAAATAAAGCTTTAACTTTTTATTTGTCTTGAACAGAGGGCTGTAGAGGTCATGTGTATAGTACCAAAACGGTGTAATGACATGATGAATGTTGGCCGCCTGCAAGGATTTGATGTAAGTTGGCTGGGGTTTTGTTTAGAGTTTTGGTCATGTTCTCTAGAAATTAACCATTAATGTTATGGGGAGAGAAAAACAGTGAATGAAAAAACAAGTTTTAGCCCTGATAAGGACTTTTTCCTGGGAATCTTTACCTGTTGTGTCAGTCACACTAGGTAAGTCCTGCAAAATCTAGGAAGTGCTGATGTTATCACAGTTCCCTTATTGACTAGTGACTTGCAAAACAGTGAAGTAATCAGTTATCAGCAGGTGAGCAGACCTGGCTTCAGTATTAGATTATTAGAGTTGCTAAGGATAGTGAAGTACCTGAGGCAACTGTAACCCTTCTTGTTTCGCCAAGTCTAGAAGAGATGAAAATTGGCTGTTGGAGCAGGATCCATCAGCCGGACAGTAGTCACACATTCTACTTGGAAAGCCCTTTCTGCTCTGTGATTCAAGTATGAACTTGAATTCTTCCTGCTTTTTGCACCATGGAAGACATTGAAAGAATGTCTTGAGTTACTGTGGGAGTTACTGAGAATAGAGGAGCGAAAGCTTTAGTGTTACAAGCCTGAAACTGCCGTATGAATTGAGAAGGGTGGAGTGGGTTTTTAGAGGTTTTTTTCTTTATGATGTTTGTTTTTTGAGAAAGGGCATGACAGTATCTTGTGTATAGGAGGATCAATTAATATGTAGTGGTCAGTGACACTCAGAAATTGGGAAATATGCAAAGCTATTTTGGTATGAACATCTCTTCAGAAAGGTTGACTGGGGAAAGAAATTGAGAAGTGCACTAAATGTATTTCTGCTTGCTTCTGTGTTTAGGGTAAAATTGTAGCCCAGGGTAAGCTCCTGCTCCAAGACACATTCTTGGTTACAGACCAGGACACGGGACTTCTGCCGCGTTGCAAGGAGAGACGGGTCTTCCTGTTTGAGCAGATTGTCATTTTCAGTGAGCTGCTAGATAAAAAGAAAGGTTTCTCCATGCCCGGATTCTTGTTTAAAAACAGTATCAAGGTAACTGTTGTGTGTGAGTCTTTGCATCCCCTGCACAAACTCTGCCAAGGTAACAGCTTCTGATCCAATGTGGAGTCACTACTGACATCTAGATTTACAATCAGAAAGCAGAGTTAGGTGTCAGTCGTTTCCTGAAATTGTTTCCTGTCACATTTGTCCTCACTCTGATGATAAATGGAAATCCCTGGATCCTGGTACTCTGATGCTTCCTTTGTGAAGCATACCAAAATAGGTGTTCTTGTACAAAGCTGGACAAGCGTTCACAGTGAGCGTAGTCTTCAGCTCTGTGCTGTGTGTACACCATATTGCAAAGTCATTGCAAATAAAGATAATAACTCTTTATGCATCCCTTCTTTTAAGTTTCAGCTGAAATCAGTCCACATGTGTAGGTAACATTTTTAAGTAGTGCCACCATCTTAGACATGTTAGCTCCTCCTCAAACAAAAAGCATTTATCCCCACTTAAAGCTTTCCCTGAAACAAACTGTGATGATATAAGGGCTGGTGAGTCCTCCTCAATAAAGCATTTTGGGTGGACCCTGCTTCCCTTTATTCACCTCAGTGCTCTGCCTGCCACCTGAGCATCCTGTTTAGTGCTGGAGGGATAGCATGTTCCAAGGTGTTGCTGTATCTGCAGCAGAAGCCTTCAGTGTAGGCAACTGGTGGAGCTCCATAACAGGCTCAGCTTTTTAAATAACACGAAGGGAGAGTGAGGAATGGCAGAGAACATTGGGCCATACTGACCAGCTGGAGGTGGTTCAGGCGCAGTGTGTCAGTGAGCTGTACACTAACCCTGAGATTACTGACATCCTTCGTTTCATGGTATTATTTTACTGAAGGGAGGAATGGTCATCATTTGAACATCTGACTCCTGGGTCTGAAGTAAGAGATTTTAAAGGTACGTTTCTCATTAAAATACACAAGGTAAATGCTCTTTTTTTTTCATGAAGGTGAGTTGCCTTTCCCTGGAGGAAAATGTGGACAGCGATCCATGTAAATTTGCACTAACATCAAGAACGGGCGATGTCACAGAGACCTTTATTTTGCATTCTGCTAGTCCAGGAGTCCGCCAGTTATGGATCCACGAAATTAACCAAATTTTGGAAAACCAGCGCAACTTTTTAAATGGCAAGTGGTTTCCTCTCACTGAAAGTTCATAATTGAATGACTTCTCTCTCATCTGTTGTTTCTTGGCTTTGAAATGTTTTACAAGTTTCCCTTTTCCTGTGCTATTACAGAACAGTTGGGGGATATGTGCCACATTTCTGCCTCAGAACAGATGCTAGCATTTATTGTAAGAGTTGTAGTGTGAATTTACATGGTGTTCTCTTGGTGAAATTTTCCAAATGTTTTGTAGGAGTGAATCAAGATTAGCACCATCCGTTGAGGTGGAGAGCTTGTGTACTGCTTCTAAGCAAATGCAAGTTTTAAAGGCTAAACCCAAGTGGAATTTTAAGCATCTACTCATAATATGTTTTATGTGTGTTAATCTGGTGATTATTATTGTCACATCTTACTGTGGCAACAACATTCAGATTCTGCAGGAGAAAAGTAGAAGATGGTAGTTCCTGCTCTGACAGTAGAAGATTCTTGCTGTAATATTTTTGTATCCATTGGTTGTTAGCCCAGTCTAGATTTTTTTGTAAAGAGTTGTAACGGATGGAACAACCTGCTGAGAAGTCAGAGTCACGCCTGGTTATCCCCAGCTTGGCTGTTGACTGACAAATGTGATCCTAGAGGAAAACATTTTTCCCTGGTTTCAGATTTTTCATCTTTAATAGAGGTACATGTAGGAGGTCGTGAAGGTGTGATACAGAACAGTGACGTGAGGTCAGTGGCACAACCAGCAGTGCTAAGGGGATTGCTCTTACTTGCACAGTAGACCTGTCTGTCTTGAGCTGTTCCTGTTCCCTTTCCTGCCCTCCTTTCCCTGACGGCCTCCCCTGCCGCCCCCTGCAGCCTTGACGTCCCCCATCGAGTACCAGAGGAACCACAGCGGCGGCGGAGGCGGCGGCGCCGGGAGCAGCAGCGGTAACAGCGGCGGCC